ACATCTACTATACCCGCTAAATACTCTACTTCCACTACATTCACTACATCATCTTCTTCGTCAGAAAACAATGATTCAAACTCAACAACAACAACAACTACTACTATTACACTTAACACACCTTCATCACATCACCCTAATTTAAATTCATCGTCTACAATAACTGATAAAAATTCTTTGCCTTTTTCTCCATCAATGCCTAGTAGTTCTTCATCTTCGAAATTCACCGAATCTTTAAGTATACAACCTTCAGGATCTTATGATGTTTTAACAAATCAAGTTAAACCATCTATTTCCCCTCTTGATAATAATTCAAATTCACTTAATAACAACATGTTATTAAAAATGAATAATTCAACTTTGGCAAAAAGTATCCTTGATTATAATAATAATTATGATTTTGATTCAACTAGTTCTTCTGATATTATCGATACTGAAAGTGATAGTGATAGTGATAGTAGTGATGATATTAGTGATGATGATGATGATAGTAGTGAAAATGGTGAAAGTCTTTATACATCCGTAAAATCTATTACATCAAATGATAAAGAAATTTCTCCTCTCATAATTCCTAAAGAACCTCTTCCTTCTTCAAATGTTTTTCTTGAAATTTTAAAACCAAAACTTAATCGTGTTCCAACTGGTCGTCGTCCTATTAAATATCAAAATCCTACTGAAGAAATACCTGAAACTCCTACTCTACTTCAAAAAGAGAAATTTAGAACTTCTGAAATAAAAAATGTTGATTCTGAAAAATTTAAGCAAAAAGAATTTGATGATAAATCTCTTAATAATTCTGGGTCTAAATCAAATTTAAGAGAAAAAGATAATGTACCAATTGAACGAATTCGTAAAGATTCTAAAGCTAGTGAATATACGTCTGATGATTCTAAAGATATAAGGTCCCCTTATGTAAGAGACGGTGATAAATCAAGTGATTATAGAGAATTTGCCACTAGACCTAATAGAATCAGAGAAAATGAAGATGATGATAATAAACCATTACGTGGTCGGGCTAGATCGAAAACAAATGATTTTGAAGAACGTGGACGTGCTAAATCTAGAGCTCGTGAAACTGATTTTGAAGAACGTGGACGCGCTAAATCTCGATCTCGTGAAACTGATGAGCGAGATGCTAAATCAAGAACTCGTGAAGTTGATGAACGTGGTCGTGCAAAATCAAAAACTCGTGAAATTGATGAACGTGGTCGTGCAAAATCGAGAACTCGTGAACCTGACGAAAGGAGTCGTGCTGTATCTAGATCGAGAGAGTATGACGA